ATAAATCCATAAATAGGAGTTTGTTAAGAACTCGGGATTAAGATCATTCTATATATGACCATCGGTAGACTCAATTAGAATTTCTATGCTTAACGGAAATTATTAGAAATTCATATTGTGTCTGTGTCCCTGTTCTACACAATCTCATTATGCGAAATACACTCATTTAATATCTCACCATATTAACAATGCGAATAGCACCGTTCCATTCTAAATGGGAATGACATGTATTAATAATGTTTTAATTAAAGATTCTGAACTTTAATTAAATTCATTATGAACAATATTTTTTTTTATTATTATCCTTAAACACTATCCTCTCGTATATAACACTTATATACTATGTTTAAGGTTACATAAATAATCACGGAATTTTCATTTGATATTCATAAAATATATAAATATATGCACATAAAATGATGAATAAACTCTTTTATTAATTGAATAACTAATATTTTATTACATCTTATGCTTCTAGGACACTATTCCCAACATATATATATATATATATATATGTATTCACGTGAGCTATATAATTAAGCTTGAGTTGCACATGAGAATTAGAACTTGAAATTTGACTTGGTCAAAGAAAAGTCAAAGATAACTTGCTATAATGAAAGATAAGGCATTGACGTGGAGATAACTAAGAGAATATTAGATGTTGCAGATAACGTTGAGGAGGATTTTTTGGTATCTGAATATAGGTTCAAAAGTTGAAAAAGGAGATACGTGGAATGGGTTTATATGGGAAGTGACTCTGCTAGAAAAGGTGGGTCAACTATAGGAAAAAATCTTGTGATAGAGAATCGGTGCTTAAGTAGAACAATCTGTAGCTTATGTTTTTTTCTCATTGAAAGTATGAACAACTGAAGGGAGTTCAGCAGTTAAAGGTGAAGACGTGTGGTACACGCTAAACAGTGTCATTGTGAGAGTTCATCACAGCGGCGCTATAGTCTAGGAGGGAGTCCTTGAGTGAATAAGTCCGTCAAGGTTGTAATTCTTAAATCATAGTGAAACTGTTTACTGTCTGGGTGTGGCCCTGCAGAGTAGGTGTGCGCACCGAACTGCGATATTATATTGTGTGTTCCTTTACTTTCTGCACTTTATTTTACTCGAGCAACTGAACGTAATTAACTCATATCTATCATATATATATATATATATATATATATATATATATATATATATATATATATATATATATATATATATATATATATATATATATATATATATATATGAATAAATATATGTATCAAAATAAAAGGAAATTTAGGTTTAACTATTTAGGTGTTTGTTAGCATTCTAGTGTTTAATTAGAAAAAGAAAGAGGGACCATATACGTGGAGGAAATTCTTGCTCATAAGAAGATGGGTTGTCCAGTGTCCACTAAATTAAGTCACACAGTAACATTTATAATAAGGACTAGGACTGCCAAAAAGAATGAGGATGGTGCTGTTTTGCCCACTAAATCAATCTCAACATCGGTGGATAGGTTCCTTGTTATTTTCAAGCAATAAATCTTGGTCAGTTGGTTGCACTTTACTGTAGTACTAGAGTTGTCATAGCTAGCTCACCGCTACAATTTTTTTGGCCCCCTGTTTTCTTCTTTCCATTATTATTTTTCTTCTCAGAAGGCAAGTGTATACATATTCAATAATGCAGATTTTCCTTTTCAATAAGCTGAAATAGACTACAAAGCAGAGAGTGAAGCAACAAGAAAACGCCACAGTAATGGAGTAAAAAGAGAGAAAAAAAAGGGTATTTTGTATATTTGCTTCCTCAACTTTTGGGGTTTTGATAATTTTCTCCGTAGACATCTAATTGTGGCAAATTGGCATCTTTTATAAAAGTGTTGTAATGTGCCTCATTTTACTAATTTTGTTATGAATTTTTGTCAATTTCGATATTGAGAAACAGGAAAAGAATAGATTTATATTACAGTTTATATTTATATGTTGAAATGCTTTTTCGTCACCAATTTATAACGCGGTCATTATTAAAATGGGACAGTACATTACTAGCTTTGCAAGTTGGAGGCAAAGGTAAAAGCCTACACAGAGGCATATATAGTAAAAAGAAAAATACTATGGACTTTGACCTTCTCATCCAAATGGCACAATTCATTAGCCAAAATCCATGTTGGGCGCCAACTAATTAATTTACCTCTTACGCATATTAAACAATTGAACTCACATCCAATGAGGCAACCTTAAGCCGTTAAAAACAAAAAACATTCTTCTTCACAGAAAATCTTTTCTCATCCTTAGAGGATACTCGTGTCCACTGTCAAACGTAATACCAAAGCCTCGCACTCATGGAAGGAGAGAAAATATCCACTTTTTGCTCCCCGTGAATGTACAACGAAACCGTTATCGTTCTTGAACAATCCAACATTTTCAATCACAACCACATCACAGTCGGGGACAGACACCAAACTTATAGGTCTACTAGGAGAAAAAGTATAAAGAGAATACACTAGGCACATCACTCGATGAACAACAAGTAGTAAAAATCCTACGAAACCTTAGCCATGAGATTGGAATCCGGCATGATCCCTTCGAAAATTAGGAAATCATTTCTACCTCTCCGAATCAATCAAGAATGAAATCACAAAGAGCATAAACATTTTATATTGTAGGTGCGTTGAAGATCAAAACTTTACGGCGGATCACGAAAGGATTTGATAGAGTCTAACATTTGTTTCAAGAGTTCTATCTGATTTAGAATTATGATTCTTAATTCTACTACCGTGTTTTTTTCTCATAAAAAATTTAAATTTTAAAAATAAAAAACATGAACTATGATTTTGAACTCATAAACCAAATGTTAAGCATCCCAACAACAAAGTCATCCCACAGCAAATATTTAAGCACCACCAACCACCAAACCAACAAGCCTTGGTCAAAGCGCGACAAGTGAGCTTTATCCTTTCTAGCGAGTTTACGCAAAGGGCATCTCGAGTCAGGAATCGGGAACCTCTATTTCAAATTTGTTTCAAAGATTCGGATCTTCCAAAGTTTTCACCCAAGCAAGATCATGTGTCGGCTAATTCGAACCGTTGTTCATTAAGAATCCAATAGCAGACGGATTTGGTGCTAACATAAATGCAATTTGAGCACTTGAAACCAATGACGAGCGATAAACACTTGAAACAATCGGAAAGGTTACTGACTCAGCTCTCACTGGAATGCGGCACAGGTTTATATAGGTGAGACCCATATTTTCTCTCAAGAGTCAAGATCTCCAAGAGGTTACCGAGTAACCGAGAATGCTTAAAAGATTAAGTTAGCAGTTAGCACCACATCCTAGGATAATAGCATTCTCCTATGTTTACCGGAAAAAAAAAATCCCTCTTCAATATATATGTGTGTGTGTGTGTGTGTGTGTATTTATATAGCGTGCAGCCACATGTAGTCTTTGCTTGTGCCCTCGAAAATACGTTGGCTTTTTTGAAGCAATTACTTATTAAAGTTTGATTCACCTATGGGCACGTTTAGTTCGCTAATTCGAGTTGAGATGTGATTTTATGTGAGAACTTTTTATTATAATAAAAAAGTTAGATGTGATTATTTTTTAGAGCTTTTTACTATAGCAAAACTCAAATTTTAAATTTAAATCGGTAAAATGAACGAGGCATAATTTTGTTTAGACAACCATTTTTGTTGAGTTGTGTGTGGGCTAATTATAGTCTACTCTATTCCCACTGACCACCATTTGACCTTGTTAGTCTGTTCTAATTCTTTGTACTATAAAAATGGGATATTTTTGTACATCCCTTTTTGTTTTTTGTTTTTGTTTTTTTGTTTTTCTTTTTAAAGTGAGAAATGAGTAAAACGTCACAAGAGACATTCTCAAAAATGTAAAATTATCTTGTATCTTTTTTACTCTGATGTGACAAGTTTTTTATCGTTAGATCTTATTAAAATTACATCAAATTAAAAAAACATGCAGAACATGCAGTTTCTAATACATATTTAATAGCTGAAAACATAGACTCTTAAGTCGTTCAATTTTTCAAGACCTGCCAGAAAAACTCCTTTTTTATGTGAGAAATTTAAAACGATACAGTGAACATTACTTACATTAAAACATGTTATTCCTGTATTGTTTTTCTTTGCTTTTGGCGTTGCTCTAGTATATTAAGGATTAGGAGTAGTTCCTAACAATTGTCTCCATAATATGTGGAGAACAGAAATGGGCTTCATCATTTAGTTGTTGTCACTCCATTAAAAATTGGGTCCAGGCCTGTCCACTCTATTGAGAACAAGAGGTGGCTAACTGTCCCAATAGCCAGGAGTCACCATCCTTTCTTTTCATTGTGGAAAAGTCTGTCTCTCTTTATTTATGCCTCTCCAATTTATTTTAATTTTTTGGGACTAAAAAGAGGATTGCAATTCTTGATTTTCAATGTAAAAGATGATTTCAATATATCATAGGACTTTCGATTTAACTCAATCGCCAACTATGCTATGAAGAATAAATTATAAATGGCATAATGAGGTCTTGCCAGTTTTGGTTTACAATTTGCCTACACTCAAAAGGGAGAAAAAAGTTGCAATGGAAGTATAAGTTATACAGCTTCAGATTTTAATAGTTACTTTACATCTAATAATGTAAAAGAAATAATCTGTATTTAATGATAAATAGTTATTTTTTGTGTAGGTTTTTTTCCACTAATGTGTGGAGAAATTGATTTTCCCATACTTTTTTTCTTACATATTTATAATTTTTCAACAGGGAAGCCAACAACAGGTTTTATTTCTGAAGCCAAAGAGCGCAGCTCACTTATTTCTTCATTGCTGAGCCTCCATCCAAGTGCACCTGCAAATTCTTCAGCCTGTTCTCCATTTTTGGCTCCTGGGATTGGGAGCACATTTTCTTGGGCTATAAGCCAATTGAGGACTACCTATATGAAGGCACACACTTTTCAGTAAACTATATCCCTTTTGTGCGCATGTGTGTGTGTTCTGGAGAGAAATTGAAAAGAAATTGAAATTGCACTTTTATTGAGGTATTTAAATCAAACTTTTTTATTCTTTACATATATAAAAGTCGGCTTTGTATTGATCAGAAATAAAGTAAATATGTTGCACAATAGATATAATCCAACATAGTAACGTAACACCTGCGGACATGATAACAGGTAACTGCACAGTACATATTGTATATGGATAGATAAGTATAGCACATTTAAGGGGGGCAAAAAAAAAAAAACCAGATTTGGGTTATGTTTCAGCAGTTAATGGAAGTGACGGAGACAGTACTAGTGTTTGATAACTAAAAGTTGGCGAAGTATTTTTTATTTCATTAACTATTGGTCATGTTTAAGCAGTTAAATGTAGACCATTGTAGAACGGAATTCCAAGCAAACATTATCTACATTTGGAAGTTCAAAAAGAATTTCACAGACCTGTGTGGGAGTTTTGCTGTAGTTCTCTCCTATTTCACGGATTCTGTTTATTAAAGGTTGAACCTGCACAGCAGATTCATCTGTCAGCAGCAAATTTGAAACCTAAAGGAACCAGACATTTGGATAATTAGCATCATCAGGCGTTACCTTTGTCAGAAACTCTGGTGTGTAAATTCTTCCTCGAGGACCATCCGGTGGATTTTGCGGTGTATACTTACCAGTAAGGGCACCTATGTGCGTAGAAAATAAAGAGCGCCATCATTCAGTCGGAACAAAAAAAGAAAATAACAGTTAAACACTTGCCTACAAAAATGTATTAACATCCTGATAAAGCCCCAGTCCATATCACCTATGTGAGGCGGAAGAAAAAAGGGCAGGGAGGCAATTTGGAGTAAATTGTCGAGGGCAATGTGGCTAGCGGTTTTCTGGGTTTGTGTGATGAGGAGTCAAGGGAAGGAGGTTTGTTACGAGTTGGTTAGGCTTGAGATTAGTGAAAGAGAAGTTGATAGTAGAATAAAAGGGAGGGATGATCATCTAGTGAGTAGGCTGGTTTTTGGTAATTGTGGAGAGCTTGCAAGTCTCTCGAATACTTGCTCTTTTCTTTGTATTGCATAGTTTATCAGATAATTCAATAAAATTCAGAAAACCCCAGAGAGAGGATTCTTGCTCTCTGTGACCAAAAACTAAGTCTCAATTCCTCACTTCTCTGGTTCTTAACAAATTGGTATCTGAGCACCGACCTGGATGGCACCTCCAGGGTGACGAGAAGGCCGAGGGGAACAACGGCAAAGGAGGGAACGATGAAGTCTGAAGGGAGATGAAACAGTATAAGGAGGAAATACTGAAGATTCCCAAGCTAGAAAAAGGAATGGAGATTATCTTCAGGAAATTAGAGGAACTGACGTGCCAGAAGGAGGAGCGGGAGCGAAGGGAGATAGTTTCACCGTCGGCCACCATGTGATGGCAAGATGCCTATTAAGTTGAAAGGAAAGTTCTATAAGACTGAAGATTTAGGGGTGAATGATAATTTTCTCATTGATCAGAAACGTATATACAACCCCCTTTTATACATCAAGACCCCGGTTACCCTAATGCTAATTACATCAATTATTAATTCTAGCAGAATTGGGGAACAAAGGGAAAAAGGAAACAAATTAGTAAAAACAGGAAACTAATCAAAAACAGAAAAGGAAACTAACTAATAGAGATATTGGAAATGATTCCAAATCTCTTTATTCCTATTCTACTTTGTCAAATATTCTAGGATCTCTGATTCCTAACCGAGTATTTCAACACTCCCCCTCAAGCTAGGCGTAAATATTGATTAAGCTGAGCTTGAAACTCAATTCTTCAAAATTCTTCCTTGGCAGAGCTTTAGTAAGGATGTCTGCTATTTGCTGATTTGTAAAGAGATTTGTCGAGATAGTAGAGCCTATCCCGTTCTCTAGCATGTCCAATCGTTCTCCCTGAATCCTTGTCCTGAAATGCACAATAACTATGATTAAAAACCACTTCACAATGCAAATCTTTAGTGAGCTTTTGGATGGAAATAAGATTTGTGGTTAGTCTAGGGACGTGGAGAACATTTTTTAACAACAGTGATGGGCTTATTTTGACATCACCTATACCTGCCACAGTGGTCAATGAGCCATCAGCTGTGACTATTTTCCTATTACTTGGACATGGGACATATGATGAGAAAATTTTTGATGAATGGGTCATATGGTCGATAGCTCCCGAGTCAATAATCCAGGAGATGGTAAAGGCTATATCCGAGACATTTAATCCAATGGAGAATGAAAGTTTACCTAAATACGCCAGTGAACAAGTACCTGATGGTTTTTCAAGGTTGCTAATAAGTGATCCCACCCTCTCAATTTCTTCTTGGCTGAGATTTCCCATCTCTTGTGGTGTTCCTTCATGCGGCTGCACTATTGCAATCTGGGTTTGTCCATTGTTCCTCGGTTGCTTTCCTTTTTGTCCCCACTCTCGGATTGGTGGTTTTCCACGCAGTTTCCAACACCGCTCACGAGTATGACGTGCCTTCTTGCAGTAAGTACACTATAGAGTGTCTTTGTAGTCACGATTTTGAGTCTTTGGCTGGCTGGTCCTCCCATTCTCGGCCGCTGGCTTTTTTCTGCATTTGTGGCTGTCTTATTGCTGTTACTAGCAACCAAAGCCGAACTGTCAATGCCTTTTGGTTCAAGCATCAATTCCCTTCTACTTTCTTCTCCTCGGATGAGTGCCACCACTTCATTGAAACTCAGACCTTCCTGTTTGCCAAGAATCTAAATTCTAACTAGGTCGAATTCCGGATTGAGTCCAACAAGGAAATCATAAACCCTATCTTGTTCAATAAACTCCTTCATGATTGCTGCATCATTGAGACACTTGGTCTTAACCACCCTATAATGATCAAGTTCTTGCCACAAGGCCTTCATTTGATTGGCATATTCAGTGACAGTCATATCTCCTTGTTTTGCAGTGATCATCTTTGCTTTGACTTCGTAGACTTGAGCAGCATCCTTTGCCTTGGAGTACGTTTGTTGAATTGCATCCCATATATTCTTGGCAGTGGCTAAGAACATACATGTATCGCTAATCTCCGGAGTCATGGAGTTCCACAGTCATGCCATGATCATCGAATCCTCCTCATCCCACGCTTCAAATCGTGGATCTTCCGGTTTTGGTCCTGTCCTTAAGAGGTAGCTGATTTTTCCTTTTCCTTTCAGCACAGTTCGAACAAGTTGGGACCATTTAAGGTAGTTTTTTCCATCCAGCCTATATGAGGCCTAAATGTTCTGCAATTCCCCGACCAGTTGAGGCCTAACGGTTTCTGCATCCTCCGGCCGTGTTGTAGCAGTTGTCTCTGCCACCTCCGACATCCTCAATCAAACCAAGCAGTCTCCAGGCAATTAAGGCCGGTTGTGTCAAATAGAATATCAGCGATTAAGGCTGATACAATCCAAGCACTCTTCTATGGAAGCGTCCTGACAGCAGTGGCGGCAAGGCAGAAAACAGGACAACAGTGACGAAACAGCCCCATAGCAACACGGTAGAGAAAAAGAAACTCAACCCTGGCGATGAAGGCTAGGGTTTCAACCCTTGGCGATGAAGGCTTGGGTTTCAACCCTTGGCGATGAAGGCTAGGGTTTTCGTTCCCAGAAAAAAAAAGCGTAAGGCTCTGATACCATGATGCAAATTGAAGAAATTGTATTATTGCACTACAATTACAACCGGGTTTATATACAGAAGCCTTAGCCTCAGAAACGGCAATTACTAGGTTATATCTCATCCCATATTATGTGGGATATCCCAACAAAAAACGGAAACTAACCAAATCAACCTAATTCTAGGGAAACTAACTATTATATTCAAACTTTCCTAATTTAGTCTATACACGTGTAAAACACATTCTCCCACAAGGCTATTCTTTAGCAAAAACGCATCAAGGAGTATAGAGGGATTCACTGATGCTGATTGGGCAGGTTCCATTAAAGACAGAAGGTCCACCTCAGGCTATTGTACATTTGTATGGGGCAACCTAGTCACATGGTGAAGTAGGAAGCAAAATGTGGTGGCCCGAAGCAGTGTTGAAGCTGAACTTAGAGCCGTGACACATTGCACTTGCGAAATACTATGGCTGAAACTCCTACTTGAAGAATTGAAGATGGAGATGATTCTTCCGTTAAAGCTTTACTGTGATAACAAGGCAGCCATAAGTATCTCTCACAATCGCGTCCATCATGATCGGACAAAGCATGTGGAAGTGGACAGACATTTCATCAAAGAAAAAATTGAGGGAGGAATACTGTGCATAACCTATGTATCCACAGATGACCAAGTGGCTAACGTCCTAACCAAGGCTCTAGCAAGGAGGATGTTTGAAAGATTAGTTGGCAAGCTGGGAATGTTCAACCTTGGAAATCCAGCTTGAGGGAGGGTGTAGACTAATAGCCAGTGTTGACTTTCCTAGTTTATAGGGATCTAGTTGTTATTATCTTCCTTTTTTTATACAGAGATAAGGAAAGATATTTTCCTCATATCTCTCTTCTCAATGATAGAATTCATTCCCTGATTAATGGGGATTTTACTGTTTTAGTTTGTTTCCTTTATTGTGGAGATTCATTGGCAGATATGTTGCCAAGCTTCTCTATAAAAAGGATATGTATTCTCTGATTATAGAATAAGTGAGAATGTCTAATTCCTCAATTTCACACCAACTCATTAGCCATTTATCGCACTACTAGTAACATAAAACAACTAAGCCGGAACCAAAATCCAATAAGATGATAACGAAAATGCATGAGAGAAGAAAGACCAAACTGGAGAAATGTGAGTGAGGTGAACATAACAAACAAGGACAAATAAATGAGTAGGATTTCACCTTGAGCAATAGGTGAATAGGCAATCAAAGTGATCCCAAGTTCATCACATGTAGCCTTAACGCCATTTTCCTCCGGTGCCCTGTATATGAGGCTGTAATTGACTTGGTTTGAGGCCAATGGGATGCCTCTCTTTTTAAGCTTCTCATATGATTCGCGCAGTCTCTTCTCTGAAATGAGAACCAAAAGAATCAAAATTGGCACAGATTGAACAGTTGTTACAGATTAAACATCTTAATTCTTACTAACTAGAGTTTATAAGGCAAGAAAGTACGATGAAAACGAAGAAAAAAAACACACACCTAACACCTATCGGACATTTTATTTCTATCTAACTTCATTACTAACCCCCCAATATATCTGTAATTAGGGCGAACCAACTACATGTTTGAAAACCTGAAGGTCAATCAATATGCTAACTCTGCGTCAGAATGTTAATATTTCATACTTTCCTTGAAGGGAAAAAGGAGGTAAAAGGCCAATAAGATAGTACACCCAACAAAACAGTAAAAAATAAAAAGATAGAAATATTTTACCGCTGAAGTTTGAAACACCAACAGCCTTCACCAATCCCTGCTCAACAGCATCTCCAAGACCATCAATATACCCTGGCAAAATTGGTTCTCCATCAACTAAGTTATTAAGTAAGAGAAGAGGATTTGGTAACTCTTCTATATCAAACACCAGTGGCTTTAGAGTTCAATTGCAAAACAAACAAAAGAAAGGTATTATGAGCAACCTTCATTTCCCCATACTCCAGGCCTGAAATCCACCGAAAGAATTATTCAATGACTAATCAGGAAAGAAAACTTAAAAGTCTATAAAAAGTTGTCTCTTGATGGATCATATATTACACTCATGATGATACAGACCAGTGAAGCTGATAGAGATCAACTGAAGAAAGTCCGAGGCGAGAGAGGGAATTCTTAAGGGCAGAGAGCACACTCTGACGACTGAACCTCCATGGCAAAGCTGCAAATTTGGTTGCAATGGCAATCTCCGCCCCGGGGTCCTTTTCTTTCCTTTCCTTGATGAATCTATCAAAGATGGTGAAATTTGATTACTACATCTACTAAAAGAACAAGTTGTAGCAAGATCTTCCTTCCTTCAAAAGAAACTGACAGAAGAAATTGATAACTATCAACTTTTTAGGATGTACCTTCCAAGCAGAGTTTCAGAATTTATGGCACCAAATGAAAGCTGCAAGAAGGTAAAATATGATGGCGAAGATTTCCATGGCTTCTAATGAGAAAGAATAAAGGAATCGGTGAGGTTCTTAGCTCACCCTTGAGCCATAAACTTCAGCAGTGTCAAAGAAAGTTATACCGCGATCAATGCTGGTATCGAAAGCAGCCTTGGCAGCCTTCAGCTTTCTATCTGCAGTTGAGATACAGAAAAAGGAAGACATTTTAAACAAGTCTTCATAGGATATGAGATATGAGGTCATTTTCATCAGTCACAACCTCACAGGTCATTAGACAAACTAAAAGCAGGCAATTATGAAAAACAATCTCACAAAGACAACTGATATGCAAAATTTCCATTCTGGAAAAAGACAAAACAACGAAACTTTGGTGGATAATTTTGGAACCACTCTAACTGAAATTTAAAGTAAAAGACAATTTCCTTTCAACATGAAGAGGTTAAAGCCATCCTATTAAAAATTGTTGAGACATAATGTCAAGGCCTAACATTGTGCTTCAAGAGACAATGCTATTAGCTTCTTGGCAAAAATGAAAGTACTTTCTTCTTTGTATACAATAGAAACCTCCACTCGGTATATGATATTGGCCGATTTAAGCCCCAGGCCCGAGAGTTTTGCTATTAGCCTTTACTCCCAAAGCCCTCATACTATTTTAAAAAAAAAGTAATTATAAACAATCACGCATAACCTTCACCAAGGGACGTCGAGTAAACAACTTACCCTTTCTTGGGTCCCAATTAAGACATAATCCAATTCTCATTTCTATTAGCCAACCAAGCCAAATTTAAAAAAATAAAGGAATTAATAAGAATTATAGCATTATATTTCACTAAATTTCATAAAGAATCAGCACAGTCCCATTGATTAAGAAAATTAAATTCCAATTTCAAAAGGGTATCTAAATCTTTGAACTTAACGAAGAGCTAATTTCTTAGAGCTTACCATCCCATTCAAAGTTGTTCCAGTAGCTAGTGTCACCCCATGACCAAGCACCAATCCCAAGCCTCGTTACCTTCAAATCTGAGCCGCCCAACTTCACCTTATCTTCCTCCGTGGTTTTCAGAGCGGCAAAGTCCTCGGAAGCAACGGCTCTGATTCTGTGAGCTCTCTTGCTGCTGAAAGTGGAAAAACATGAAGTACTGCTCACGTGCATAGCCATGGCTGAACCTTGGGGCTTATCACTACGCTTGATGAAATGGGGTTTCCGTAATTCAGCAGGGAGTCCTTCAGGTCCTACTTGTTTTTTTTTTTTTTTTTGTGGTCGACCAATTATTCTCTAAAAAGTTCATACTTTTTTACTGGGCGGTGGAGAACAACCAGTACGATTGCACCAGTGAAATTCAACGAATCTTGAGTATCACATCAGCACCACAAGATAATAAAAGTAATTATTTTCATGTGCGTGCGTCCCTGAATTTTAAGTCATCCACACTTTTTGCCGTCTAAATGTTAAAAACTTCTAATTTATCCTTTTAATTTTTATTAGTTTCACTTAACCCCCTTCTGTTAAAATTTCTCTCAAAAACATATAGTCAAATTGTCTTCTTAAAAATAAAAAATAAAAAGAAGCGCGCGTACAAAAAAAATTGGGGGCTGTGAGGGTTAAGTGAGACTAATTTGCATTCAATAGGCAAAGTGAAGCTTTTAAACTCAGATAATAAAATGAGAATGATTTTAAAATTCGGAGAGTTTAGAAAATTAATCCAAAAAAATAAATCTTACATTATGAAATTCATAAATAAATTTAATTTTTTGTGGTATTTTTTAGTAAAATTTGAGAGATAAAAAAAGTATAAAGAACGTGGTTGATGCAATGTATGTAGGATAGAAAAAGAGAGAAACGAGATTAGAGTCAGAAAATGCTTTTTCCTCAACGTAGTCGAGGGATCTTGTTGGGAGCTTTTCTTGTACCTACTCCAGCACTATGATGATATTTATTGTTGATGAAAAGTTCAATAAGTTAAAAAGAAAAAAAAAAGAGTTGAAACTCATCCTAATTCAATCCAAATTTATAATTTACATGCAACATCACAACTTCATGTCCTCATATGATTAGCATAAACTTGTATTTGTAATACTACCCTTTTTGGTTTCGTTTTCTGGTAAAAAGCATATACAATTAAATGCAACGGGCATAATATGGGCATATAATATAATGGCAACATCATGTCCTTGTACCTTTAGGATCCAGCATAAACGTATCTGTGCAGTGCCTCTCTTTTTGGTTTCGATTACTATTAGGGTTAATTGCAAACAATTCCCCCTCAATTATTGCCTCTTAATTTTAAAAAGTAACATTTATTTCTCTAATTTATGGAATATTTACAACAACAACAAAAAAACTCCTTCCAATATTAGATTTTTAACTAGAATAACATGTTTCAAAATATATATATATATATATATATATATATTGATGCCAATGTATTTGAAGATTAGAGCTGCTATATAAATACATATATTTTTCGCCGGATATAGAAATATTTGAAAAAGAATATGTTAGTAACCTTCAAGGCTTTTTTATTATATTATTTTTTAAGAGTGGTTCTGTACATTCATCCTTTTTTACTCATCACACCCCTTTTAAATTAAAAATTTCTTGTTACAAAAAGAAAACCCATTAAATAAAAAGACAACAAAGGACAATAGACTTAATCATATAATTCAATTTTTTTAAAAGGGAAAATAATGATAGAAGGGGGTTTCCTCACTCCACACCTCACATATCATACTCCCAAAATATAAACTATTACTATTTCAAAATCCATAACAAAAACCTAACCTAATTCACTTTTCAATGACTCTTTTAAAAAATTACATGAAAATATGTTAAATTTTCTTTGCTATTTGTTATATGAAGATAGATCACCTTTGATTTTTTGTTTAATATTTCTTTTGTGTTTATATTTTTTCGAATCATTTTATAAGCTAATCAATTCAATTTTTCCATTTTTATACTGTCAGATTGGTTGGAGTTTTTCCCCTCAGGTTTTTTTTTTTTTTATATGCTGCTTGTGCTCATATGCTATCTTATGGCACTTTCATTTCATTTGCCTTTGTTTTGATCAATATTCAATCAATATAATGCAACTCATGTGTTATTTTTTATTTTTTATCATCTATTTTGTTAACTATTCTTTAGTATTTTTCCTGAATTTCTTATATATTTTGCAGTTTTTTTATTTGCTTATGCCATTTGGACGCTTTTTAATTGGATAACGTCTCTATTTCCAGTTAATGAAATCCCATATTGAACAAAAAATAAAATTAATCATTTAAAAGTTTGTAAAAGTGTGTAATTAGAATGAGAGTGTAGAGAGTAAAACGGAAGTGAGGGGGATGATAGTATCGGTAATTTCAGAATAATTAGTACAAACGAAATATAAATTTGATCAACTCGTTTATAATAACTTACCGCTGATTTGGTTTATTATGTTACATAAGGAGCTGTACAATTAATAGTTTTATTGTTCAGAAGACGTATATTATACTTATCAATTGCAGGTTTATAATGTATACATCTGTTGGGTATAAACTTTGGATCTTCTTCCAGATCCATTAATTTTTTTCCCTAAAAATTTGATTTTAGTGATAAGGGTGGTTATACTCTAAAATATCACAACTTTACTTTTGAAACACCTCTTTAAATAAAAATTTATCTATTTTTTATTTCAAAACTTCACGTAAAATGATAAGAGAGAGAGAAAGAGAAAGACTCCTCTCTCTTTTATAATGATATATAAAAAGATATATATATATATATAGAGAGAGAGACGATGGCCCGTTTAGTTCGTTAATTCGAGTTTTTAATTTGAGTTGAGATGTGATGTTGTGTGAGAGCATTTTACTGTAACCAAAAAAAAAGATGTGACTGTTTCTGAAAACTTTTTACTGTAACAAAACTCGAATTCTAAACTCAAATCAGCGAAAAGAATGGGCTTCAATATATGTTTTGTTTCTCTCCTCATACCGTAAACTCTTGGTATATAAGCATTGGCCTATTTTTGGAGAAACTCATAACAAAACTTTAATTTCTCTAATTTTTATTGTAATAGACAGTAGGGAAGTTCCCCAAACCACCACCCACTATGTTAAACGGGGTTTTGATCAGATCAACGTAAGCAGTTTGTTTACTATAAATAATAAAAAATAAAAACTTAAAAATTACTAAGTAGGAATTAGGAGCCCATCAAATATTTTCAGAAAAGAACAGTACTGGATTAAAATCACATTAATATCTCCAACAGCAATGTGTATTAATAAATTATACATTATATTTATGACGACAATCATCGTAAATGAGTCGCTGCAATTATTTCGTCAGTTACATTATTAAAATGACATGACATTGAGTTTTTGCAACGACATTTAGCATATTAAGTCGTCGCAAAAGATACAAATTTAGCTGACGTGGCTTATATTTTTTGCAACCACATTTGTCGTTGCAAATAATATTTTAATTTTGTATTTATTTTTTTCTCATTTTACTAATTAATGTTGTATATTACTATATGTTTAAATCCAATATTAAATATAATTCATGATATTATAATAATAATAATACATTAAATAAAAGGAAATAAATAATATAAAATATAAATAAAAATTATTATTGTAAATAGTAATTAATAAAATAAAATAAAAATGTAATTATAGTAGAAATGTGCAGAAATAAAAATTGTTACATTAATAAAAATTTAATATCCTAAATTAGCAGCATCACTAGAATCATCGTCGTTATCATCAGAAGGATTCGGAGGCAGATGACCTGGACAGACATACAGCACAGGAGGAGTAACCGCAGGAAAAGTCATGTTGGGTTGTATTTGAGTGATGAAATCATGCATCATTCTGATGCTCTCGTACAGTTGGAGGTTTTGTTGGTAACTCTGTTGTAAGTATTCTTCTACGTGTGGGTCAGAACGTGTCGTAGAGATCTTGCTGAGCGTGAGCCAGATGATGACGCATCCCCTCAATAAACCTTTTGTGGGAGTGATCAACCCACTCCAGTCTTGTGCCCTTTGCGGGTGCCCAGAAACTGCTCCATAATATCCTCCTCGTTAACTGCTCCTACTGCGGATGATCCAAAAGTAGCAGACTGCGTATGGATCTTCGTTTCTCTTTCTCCCTCCATCTGTTGCTACAAATATTATAAGAAAAATAATTAAATACATAATGTGATTTAAATAAAAAAAATATAATTAAACATTACGAGTATACTTACAAAAGTCTGCTCAGCTTGGGAATTAATCTAAGTATCCTCACGACAATGCATGTCCCCCCAGTTATCGATGACAGACATCGGCTGTTGAGTCCCTGTGGTAGACTGTATAGTAGTTTAAATGTATATGAATATATTGTAATCGATTACCAAATTAACATTTATATTGAATAAATTATTAACAAATACTTACTTTCTTCTCGCGATGTTGGGAGTACGACAGCCAACCATGAAAACTCGACTACTTTTGGTTGCTACGATTAAGTTTTTAGCCACGTCACCGCCAGTTGTACGTATCAATATTTGCGACGACATGTCATCACAAATAATGGACAAACTGGCGCCAAAATTGTTTGTGCTAGATTTGTTTTGGCACCAATCACTATTAGCGATGACATGTCATCGCGAATAATTTGTCAAATGTTAGCGATGATATGTCGTCACAAATATTGAATTTTGTGCAACGACATGTCGTTGTAAATAGTGAATGTGATGACAAGTCGTTCAAAAAATTTGATTTCTTTTTGGTGACGACGTGTCATCGCTAATACTGTAATTTTAACAACGATAAATGTCATCGCTAATAATGTCTTCGTTAATAACCCTTTTTGTTGTAGTGTACATATATAATCTTAGAGTTTCATTAATCATGATAAATATAAAATAAGAACATGTACAGACCTTCATGTTGTGTTGAATATTGCATCAAATTAAATATAATAGTCCAAGGAATTCCAAGACATGGGATGAAACTACCGTTATACATAAGAGGGAGTTTTTTACTGTAGTTGAGGGAGAAGCTAAGGGAGAAGAAGAATCCCAACCCGAACCACCAGAGGATTTTTCTTCTCCCTTAATTCGTTGATGAGATTGAATTCGCCAAATACCGTGAAGGTGAAAGGATCGATTGGATTGGGGGAAGTAGTGGTATTGGTGGATAGTAGAACCTCCCACAGTTTCTTGTCGGCGGTGGTAGTTAACGAATTAGGGTTGTCTTGTGATTTGTCAGCCAAATGTGGAGTGCAAGTGGGAAATGAGATGTGTTTTAAACAACAAGAAACTTTTCGTGGCGTGGAGTTGCGCATACAAGGGTACACTGTGACTGAGGATTCTTTCAGATTCCGTTTT